GCGAAGTTTCCCTGACTGGGGAGGCGGCCGCCAAGGAGCTGAAGTACGACAACTTGCCCACCAAGGAGAAGAAGCTCATGGATGAGGCAATGAAGGTCGAGTGGTCCAAGTGGACAGAGTTCGGGGCTTACAAGAAGCTGCCGCCGAAGGAGTTGAAGGAGCTCTTTAGGCGAAACCCTGGCATTCGCCCGGTGGGCACGCGATGGGTGCGCACCAGCAAGGGCAACCTCATGAAGGCCCGCTTCGTAGTTCAAGGGTACCAGGAGGGCAAGTCACAGATCCGCACTGATGCACCTACAGGATCTAGAGACGCTCTTTACCTTACGCTTGCCGCTGCTGCGCAATCTGGATGGGGCCTCACGTCGTATGGCGCCATGGCGGCCTACCTCCAGTCTGGCAACATCGAGAGGCTCTTACTGCTACGCATGCCTGCGAAGAATCCCCCGCCGGGTACTTCGCCTGGTGAGATCGTTATGGCGACCGGTGCTATCTATGGCACCCGTGACGCAGGGCGGCAGTGTTATCTCCACGCCCAGAAGGTGTTCAAGGACCACGGTTTAATCGAGAACAAGCTCGAGAAGGGTCTCTACTACTTCTACGACTCCAAGGGCCTGGCCGCCGTCATACATTCCCATCTGGACGACTTCTTGATTGCTCAGCGCAAGGATTCAACAGAGTGGCAGCGTACCATAGATAGCCTTGGGAAGAAGCTGCATCTCAAGAAGGTTGAAGGCATTATCAAATATTGCGGACGTACGATCTCAAAGTCTGACGAAGAGTTTCGCATCGCGCAGGCCGCGGCTGCCAAGCAGGTCGACCCTGTCGAGATCTCCTTCGTGAAGGGCCGCGCCCCCGACGACAAGCTGTCCATGGAGGAGGTATCCAGCTATCGACACACCCTGGGTCAACTACTCTGGCTCGCTGTTCAGACTCGAGTCGACGTCGCCTGCCCGGTCAGCATGGCTGCCAGGCGCGCGAACGTCGCTACCGTTGCCGACGCCAAGACGCTCAACAAGACGGTCAACTACGTTCACGGCTCCTCCGACTTTGCCATCGTGCTGAAGCGCAATCTCATCAACCTGAACACCTGCGCCACCGTTTGCTTCAGCGACGCCGCGTTCGCCAACATCGACGGTGTTAAGAGCCAGTGGGGCATGGCCATGGGCCTTACCCACCGACCTCGCGATGTAGTCGGAGGCCGATACGATCAATGCCTACCAGTTGCCTGGCATTCGGGTACCGTCAAGAGGTCCGTGAAGTCCACGCTGGCCGCGGAGGGTTACGCCACCCTCGAGGGGGCCGAAATCAACGCATGGTTCCGCCAGCTGCTCACCGAAGCCTACAACCCCAAGACGCCGCTCAAAGTGATCGACGATCTCAGCTTGAAGCGCCCTGGGGAGGTGTACAGCGACAGCAAGGGCCTCGTTACCCGCATCCAGTCCGACGTGGGCCAGTCTTCCGACAAGCGGTTCCGCATCGTCGCCTCCATGATCAAGGAGTCCGTGCATCCCAACAGCGAGCTGCGCTTGACTTGGGTTCCTACCTGGAGCATGGTTGCCGACTCGCTCACCAAGGTGATGGAGACCAGCTTGCTGCTCTCCTTCTTCGGCGCCAAGAAGCATAACTTCGGCACCAGGCAGCCCAACGCCGCCATGATCGCCTCCGTGCTTGCCACGTGTATCGGCAAGGTCAAGGGTCAGCCGACTCCTTCGCCGCCACAGCCGTTCGACATGAACTACTACTGGTACATGTGCTGCCTGACGTGCTTCTCGATGTTCGTGGGAATGATGGTGGGATTCAGCATCTTCGCCGTTATGTGGCACACGATGGCTCAGAACACCCTGAAGCCACCGCCGCAGGAGGGCAAGGCTGAGGGCGACCGGCACCCAGGCTGGGACGGGAGACGCCTCGGGAGGCGGAACAACGTGCAGCCCGCGATTCCAGAGGAAGAGGACGCCGACGGAGACATCTTCATGCCCGACGCCCTGGAGACCGTTGCCGCTGCCGCGGCCCAGAGCAGCTCATCACAGAGAACGCAGTTCCGGCTCCGAGGCCTTCAGCTGCTCCCGCGCCGGCATCGCCGCAGGACAGCTTCGCCCCATCATCGTCGCCGAGCACGCCCATGACGGTATCCAGCTCATCATCGGCAAACATCGTGTCCTGGAATAACTCCACGCCGACGGTCTCGCCGATGGAGATCAACGAGTGTGCCGTGGCAGGGCACAACATTCGCGTAGGGTATAAGCCGCACAGCGTCTACGCGACCTGCAGGACATGCAGGCGCCACTCGTCGTGGCTTCGCCGGAACCACAGAGTGCATCAGCCCGACTTCTCGCGCATGCACCACTCGCTGAAGCACGAGCTCCAGAATCGATGGGCGCAGATGATGGGACCCGACGCGCCGAGCCGGACGACGCCGGAAAAGGGGACTAAGAAGTCCACGTGAATGAGCTTCCCGCCCGTTCAGCTTTTGCCGCTATTTGGACGCTGCTGCCAGCAGTCGCTTACGTTAGCCCGCATTCAGTTTGTTTCGCCGCTATTTGGGCGCTGCTGCCAGCAGCTGCTTACGCTAGTCCGCATTCAGTGTGTTTCGCCGCCACCCAGACGCTGCTTGCCAGCCGCTCACGTTTATCCGCATTCAGTGTGTTTCGCCGCCACCCGGACGCTGCCGTCTTTCGCAGCCTGTATGTTTCATCGCGCCTTGCCTGATCAGCCTCTGTGTGTGCTCTGTTTATGGTGATGACGATCACCAGCCAGATTGCTCTGCTACCACAGGTTTCATCTTATTACAAAATAATAAGATACCAGCCGAGTGCCCGTTGCGCCGAGAACTGATATTTCAGCAGGTGCGTGAAGCAGCACCCGTCAAATCGCCCCAGAGGGCAGCCTGCTAGCATGCCGTGCGAGCCGTTTGCTCGCGATAGATTATCAAGATAAGCTGTTCCGTTTGTAATGAAGCTTTTGCGAGTGACTTCAAGTAGTCCCCGCTACCAGGCGCCCGAGCGGCGGCTAGGAGGAGTGTGAATCAAGCTCACTCCCCAGGAGAGTAGAAGGTTATTCTATCTCTTCCCCTGCCCTTGCTTCTGCGCTCTCACACCCTGTTCTCCCGCAACCGTTTTCTATCAAACGATTATAGGGCCCTTGGCCTTAGAGCTACGCCCCTCGCCGCGCGAGTCAAAGATATCCAGCGATTATCTTCCATACCACACACCGAAGGCCCCAGTGGCAGTGTCCACATGGCGGCGCCGCCCCAGTTTGGCGCACCACTCACACGGTTCGCGGCCTCATTGGGAGCTCCACCGAAGGCCCCAATGGCAGGGTCCACATGGCGGCGCCGCCTCATTTTGGAGGACCCCTCACACGGTTCGTGGCCCCATTGGGAGCTCCACCGAAGGCCAGGGTTCACATGGCGGCGCCGCCCAATTTTGGCGCACCCCTCACACGGTTTGTGGCCCCATAGGGAAGTCCACATGGCAGCGCCGCTCCATTGAGGCGCACCCCTCACACGGATTGTGGCCCCGAAGGCCGGGGTGGCAGGGTTCACATGGCGGCGCCGCCCAATTTTGGCGTACCCCTCACACAATTCATGGCCCCATAGGGAGCTCCACCGAAGGCCCCAGTGGCAGGGTCCACATGGCGGCGCCGCTCCGTTTGGGCGCACCCCTCATTGGGACCTCCACCGAAGGCCCCAGTAGCAGGGTCCACATGGCGGCGCCTCCAAATTTCGGCGCACCCCTCACACGGTTCGTGGCCCCATAAGGAGCTCCACCGAAAGCGGCGCCACAACACGGCATTCATAACTGCACATGGTTGGGTCCTTCTCCAGGATATTTTTTCCTGACGAGTTTTCCAAATCCTAACATTCTCGATCTTCGAGAACTGTGCCTCCGTTGAAGCGCTGTCGGCGCTCTGCCTCCGTCATTCAGAATGGCGCTCTCGCCCCATTGTGGGCCACATTTCTAGATGCAAGTGTTTCCTTGTCGTTGTCGCCCCCTTCCTTTCCACGCCCCCACCTTCCCCTGGTCCTCCTGCTCCTCCCGTTACTCCTGCTTCTGCCGCTGCAGTTCCTCCTCGTCTTCCTCCTTCCTTCCTCATTGTTCTCCTCTTCCTCCTGCTCATTCGCCACCTCCTCCCCCAATGTACACAACTCCCGTTTTCATACTGCGCGTAACACGATGGGATCCTCTTGGGTGTTCCAGGTCCGCCATGACACCCGTTGGCGGACAGAGACCAAATCAGCGCCATGGAAAGGAATGGTAGGGAGGGTTAGCATCTCAGATGTGGCGCGAACGCGTCTAGCTTGCCCCCTCTCATTTCCTCCCTCCTCCCTCATCCCTTCCGTTTCCTTCCCTCTCCGCTCGAGCGCAGCGGGACTATCGCTCCCTCCACCTTCCTCCCCCCACTTCAACCTCCCGTCCCACTGGTTCTTTCCCGTCTGCTCCTGCTCCCTCCCCCCCACCCTCATCCCCAGCCCCTCCCTCCTTCTTGCCTCCCGCCTCCCTTGCCCCTGCCCCCCGTCCCTCCTCCTCTCACCCTTCCCAGGCCGACGAGGACGGTGGTGGCTGCGACGGCCGCGGCGATGGCGGCGGCGGCGGCGGTCACGGCCACGACGACTCCCGATGGCCGCGCACCAAAGCTCACTCCAGGGAAAGGTTGTCTTGATCCCGGTTCATAACTAAGGCCTCCGGCGGCCGTTGGGGACGATTCGGGCCACCCCTGAACGCTCTCTGCGAGGCCCAGCTGCAACGTGCCTCGAGGCTGGAAAGCTGCCGGGCACTGGCGAGACTGACAGGGCACGTCCGGAAAGGCGGCGGCAGGCGAGGCCAGGCGAGGCAGGGCGAGCCTCCTCCTCCTCCTCCTCCTTCTCCTCGCTGCCGTCATCGTCGTGGTCGTCGTCGCCGCCGTCATCGTCGTCGTCGTCGTCGAGGCCAGCGGCGGCGGCGGCGTCGGCGTCAGCGTCGGCGTCGCCGGCGTCGGCGTCGAAGCCGGCGGCGGCGGACATCTCCGAGCGCAGTGCGTCGACGCCGCCGCGCAGCTCCGCCAGGGCACGGCTGGCGTCCCTGGTCGGCCGCGCAGGCGCGCCGGCGCCGAGGGCGGCAGCGCGGAGTGCGTCGATGGCCCGAGTCGTCGGCGGCGGCGATCGTGGCCCTCCATCCGAGATCCTCTGCCCCTCCTTTTCGCCATATCCCCCCCCCCCCCCACACCCCTCCCCCCCCTCAACTCACCTCTAACGCCCTCCAGGCCCGCCCTCCTTCTTTTCCTCCCTCCCCTCTCCTCTCCTCCTCCCCTTTGTCCTGTGCCCCTCTTCCTCCCCCTCCTCCTCCTCCTCCACCTCCTCATCCTCCTCGCCCACCTCCCCTTTCCCCCCTTCTCGTCTTCTTCCTTTGCAGAGGAAGTGGGTCATGAGCAGGACGAGGGGGGGAGGAGGATGAGGAGGCGGAAGACACGGAGGAGCAGGAGGAGCAGGAAAAGCAGGAGGAGGAGGAGAGGAAGAAACGAAAGGAGGGTGAGGAGGGGGGATGAAGAAGGGGAATCGGAGGAGGGATGCTGAGGGGGAAGATAAGGAAGGAGGAGGAGAACGAGGAACGAGAGGAGGAGAACGAAGAAAGCATGGATCCGCAGGGGCAAGGCCATCTGGCCCTGGGCCCCCGCGCCGGGATCCCGGGGGGGGGGGGGGGGGGGCGGCCTCAGCGCGTGGCCGCGATCGGCTGCGCGCGCAGCACAACTACAACGACCTGTGTGTGTGTGTACACAACGTCATCCACCTGTGGGTGAGCAGCTGCGACTGCAACATCATCCACCAGTGGGCGAACATCCGCGAGAAGGAGAATCACCACGACTACAACGTCAACCACCACTTGTTGAACAACAAAGCTACAAACTTTGCCCACTTGTGTGGAGACGTTCCGACAAGGATACCGTCAACACACACGCATTGAAAAATAAGGGCGCGAACAAACGCGACCCAAAAACGAATGGGGTACACCGTCGGGCATGCGATACAGCCTCGGACCGACGACATTATATCATTGCTACGGCCGCCCTAGCGAGAGCGTTTAAACAAGACCTGCGTAACAGGCAGCCCCAGTGCGAGAACGAGCTGCGTAGCAGGCAGCTCAAGTATCATAATGAGCTACGTAACAGGCAACCCGAGGACGAGCACCACCAACAACATCAAGTATGCCACCACGACCGACACCAAGGACGACACGATTGAGCAGTCCGAAAGGGGTTACTAAGTACGTCGTCGTGGAAGTACTGGTGGACAACGACCGCGGCGCCTACGACGAGTACGACTGCTGCCGCGCCGCCAACTACGAGTACGACTACGACAACCTTTTCGATAGCTATGACCCTCAGGACTCCTGCTTCCAGAGCGGGGAACACTACGCCTTGGCAGCCGACGACTTCGACTCGGACCTTGTGGACTACGAAGAGAGCGTGCCCTCCGAGCTACTGCAGCCATCAGCAGCGCTACCAGGGCCACCAGACCACCTTCGGGGACCACAGGCTGAACCACGAGGGCACGACGCACAGCTGCGCGAGCCACCAGGAGTGCCTCAAGACCCACCAACAAAACGACGAGAGCCACAGGCTGAGCTGCGAGGACCGCGAGCTGACCCACGTGAGCCACAAGCCGGGCTACGAGGACCATCGGCTGAGCCACGAGGGCCACCAGCAGAGCTACGTTGACTACCAGGTGAGCTGCCAGGGCCACTAGCTCAGCTACGAGAGCCACGACCAGAGCTTTCGCAAGCCATCGGCAGAGCCACGAGGTCCACCTGGAAAGCTGCTAGGGCCACAGCCTGAGCTTCGAGGGTCGGCCCTTCGAAAACCACAGGCTGAGCTACGAGGATCACAGGCCCAACTACGGGAGCTACCAAAAGAGACTCAAGAACCACCTGCCGAGCTACGAGAGCCACCAAGAAAGCCACGAGAGCCACTAGCTGAGCCACGCGGTCCGCAAGCCGAGCTACGAAAGCCACAACCAGGACTACTAGGACCACCAGCTAAACCGCGAGTGTCATCTGCTGCGCCACGAGGGCCACCAGCTGAGCTAGGACCACCGGCTGAGCTACCGAAGGCACCAGCTGGGCTACGAGGACAACAAACAGAGCTACTACGGCGACTGTCAAAGCCTGCCGCGCGTTGCAACGCTCCTCCTCGTCGACCACCTGCACGTCCTCCGAATCGTAGCCGCGCGAAGGCTTCGAACCATAGAAATTGGCCAATCATTGTGGTTGCCCTACCGTCTGCAAGTCCTCCGCGTCGTGCGGAGGACCTTCTAAGCCCACCACAGGCACAGCTATCCGCCGATCCAGCGTAAGAGCTACAAGAAGCCTCAGCAAAAGATTCAGCTCTGAGCCTAAGCAAGAGCTTCAGCTCTGCTTTGGAGGGGTCGCCAGGGTGGCTCTGCCGGGGAAGGGGGGGAGGGGAGGGGGGGGTTCTCCATCTGGCGTTCTCTTCATGGTTTGCGCATCCGGACCCCCCCCAGGGATCAAGGGAGGGGGGGGGCGGGGGGGGCGGTCCCCCATCTGGCGTTTCCTTGATGAGTTGCGCATCCCCAAGATGTTTCGGGGGTCCCAGGGACCCCCCTCAGATCTAGCCGCTACCGCCCCCGGGACCCTCCCCTCGGAACTCCCCAGACCCCCCCCGGGACAGCTCCAGGCACCCCCCCAGAGGAGAAGAAAGAGGACCGGAAGAATCGAGGAGGGAGGAGGCCACAGAGCCGCGAAGATCACCGAATCCGGAGCCCCCCGGATCGGCGGCACTGGCCGGAGGCCATTGCAATGCAGTGGTTGCCCTGTCGTCTGCACGTCCACCGCGTCGTGCGGAGGACCTTCTAGGCCCACAAGCTCAGCTACGAGGACCAGAGGCACAGCTACTACAGCCACCCGAAGAGCTATCCGGGACCCCAGCTAGCAGACCCTCGACGACCACAAGCTGGGCTATGATGCCCAGAGGCACATCTACGAGACGCACTGGCACAGCCACAAGGACTGCGAGCTGAGCTACGAGTACCGCTGGGACATCTACAAGAAGAACGTTGGCCCCTGCTGCCACAACCTGGGCCACGAGGGCCATCCGCAGGGCTACGAGGACCACCGCCTGAGCTACAAAGGCCACAAGCTGAGCAGCGAGAGCCGCGAGCAGAGCTACGAGTGCCACCAGGTGAACTACAAGAGCCACGATCAGAGCCTCGAGAGCTTCCAGTACAGCTACGAGGGCCACCTGAAGAGCTTCAAGACCTGAGCTACGAGGGCCGCAAGCAGAGTTCCGAGAGTCATCAGCTGCGCTGCGAGTGCTACCATCGGAGCTACGAGGGCCGAGGACTGAGCTGCAAGTCACCAGCTGAGCTACCAGGGCCACAACCTGAGCTACGAGAGCCACCATCGGAGCTACCGGGGCCACAGGCTGACCGACGAAAACCTTCAGTAGAGCTACGGGGACCACCAGCTGAAAAACGAGGACCACAAGCTGGGCTACATTGGCCACGCGCAGAGCTACGAGGACCTCCGGCCGAGCTACGAGGACCTCCGTCTCGACTGCATCTACAGTCGGAGCCTCAGGCCTTTGCTCAAGAACTACGGCTTGCGGGGGGGGGGGGGGTCCAGCAACTACTGGAGCAGCAGTGGCAAAACATGAAGTGGAAGAAGCACGGGCCCATTCCAGAACGTCAACGACATGATCTGGGACATGGCTGTTGACAAGCTCGGCAACGACGAGGCGGAAAGTTACCGTCGCAGTCGGGAGCCCAAGGAGACCAAGCGACGGATCAGCGTAGGTGATATCATTGAGGCGAACCTCGGCAAAACGTACGTCGATTGCGTACTGATACAGATCGACGCCCTGCAGACTGCGGTCCGATGGAAGGACGGCTGAGAGTCCACGGTAGGCAGAGCTACAATCTGGCGGAAGCCGCAGGGGTGAAACCACTTGTGCAACATGCTGTCGACATAACACTAAGGGCTTGCCCAGCGCTACGGCCCAGGGTGCTACAAGTATTACCCTACTGACAAGATGCCACGTCTACAACACGCCGTGTGCAACGATACGCTTAAGTCGGGCCTGTCCCCCTACAGGGGGATTTTCGACGAACAATAAAACATACTCCAGAAATAATCCCCAAATAGTCCAAACATTGTCTGGGGACTGTTGTTTGAATTGTTTTTGACCTTTTTGGGGTACTTTGGGGGTATTTTTGTGGTATCTTTTATTTTTCGTCGAAGATCTCCCTGTAGGGGGAGGGGACAGGCCCGACCTAACGCTACGCGCAAGGTGCGCTGTCTTCGGTATCTTCCACCACATCTCTGGAGCGGCCCGGCCGCTCCACCTTCTCCTTCCCCCCCTCTTATGTAGAGGCCTCCTAGATGGGGTCGGAGTAGATGGGGTCGGAGGATCGCGCCGCATCGCCGATACATCGGCGATGCATCGCCGATGCATCGGCGATGCATCGGCGATGCATCGGCCATGCACTGGCGACGTCGGCGATGCATCGGCGACGTCGGCGTGGAGGAAAGTGGGCCCCACATCGAGCCGCATCGCTGATGCATCGCCGATGCATCGGCGATGCGGCGCGATCCTCAGACCCCATCTGCTCCGACCCCCTCTTATGGGCCTCAGGATGGTGTAGCAGGAGAGCGGGCGGCCCTCGCTCACTCATGGCCGTAGGTCGTTGTGCGTGCAGCCGCCTGCCCTGCCCCTCCACCTCGGCCGAGGGCCCGAGGTTTAAGTCGGGCGTGTCCCCCTACAGGGGGATTTTCGACGAAACATAAAAATACTCAAAAAATACCCCACACAGGTCAACAAATCGGAGGTGAGGGGGTGAGATCGAAGTGGAACGGAGAGCCCCCCTACCGGGAAATCGATTTCGGTTTCGTGTTCGTGCGTGCCGTGCGGGCGAGGCGAAGCTGCGTGGGCGGGCGAGAGAAAGTCTCCTGTGGCTGAGGCGCGGCTGGACCAAATGTCTCCCTTCCGGGCGCCGGGGCCCCGCGGTGTCCCGCCGGTGTCCCGCTGGTGTCCCGTGTGGCTGAGGCGCGGCCGGACCAAATGATCCCTTCCGGGCGGCCGGGGCCCGCGGTGTCCCGCCGGTGTCCCGCCGTGTCCCGTCGGTGTCCCGATGATGATGATGATGATGATGATGATGATGATGATGATGATGATGATGATGATGATGATGATGATGATGATGATGATGATGATGATGATGATGATGATGATGATGATGAATATGATGATGATGGTGATGATTATGTTGATGTTGAATTTTGATGACCGATTGTGAGATCGATAGTGAGGCCGAATGTGAGATCGAATGCGAAATCGATTGTGAGATCGACCGTGAGACCGAATGTCAGATCACTTGTGAGATCGATTGTGAGATCGATTGTGAGACCGATAGTGAGATCGATAGTGGTATCGGTAGTGAGATCGATTGTGAGATCGAATGGGAGATCGATAGTGAGATCGATTGTGATATCGACAGTGAGATCGATAGTGAGACCGAGTGTGAGATCGATTGCGGGATCTATTGTGAGATCGAGTGTGAGATCGGTAGTCAGATCGATTGTGAGATCGATCGATTGAGATCGATAATGAGATCGATCGTGAGATCGAAAGTGAGTTCGATAGTGAGATCGATAGTGAGACCGAATGCGAGATCGATTGCGAAATCGATTGTGATATCGATAGTGAGACCGCATGTGAGATCGATAGTGAGATCGATAGTGAGTTTGATAGTCAGATCGATAGTCGGATCGCATGTGAGATCGATTGCGATATCGATTGTGAGATCAATAGCGAGACCGAATGTGAGATCGATTGTGAGATCGAATGTGAGATTGATTGTGAGATCAATCGTCAGATCGATTGTGAGATCGATCGATTGAGATCGAGATCAGTAGTGAGTTAGATAGTGAGATCGATCGAGTGCGACGTTGGTCCCTCCCCCCCCTCCCCCCCCCCTCGCCTCCTTATCACCCGAAGGGTGGTCGTATAGATAATAAAACAATTGTCCCCAGACTTTTTTTGTATTATTTTTGTGGTATTTTTCATTTTCCGTCGAAAATCGCTCTGTAGCGGGACAGGCCCGACTTAACCCGAGGTGGATGGGGGGTGCATTCGGGGAAAGGTGAAAAGAGAGAGCGGTAGGCTAGAAGGGGAAGCAGCAGCAGCAGCAGCACAAATGGAGGGGGGGAGGGGGGTGGGCGTCCCTCCTCCCCCTCCTCTCTCCTGCAGGAGTAAGTCCTGCACGGCCAAGCCTGGCGGCGCGCTCGCGCGTGCCCGGCCGCGGCGCGGCGACCGCGTGGGGATGCCCGATGGCGCTGCGAGAGAGAGAGAGAGAGAGAGAGCAGGAGGAGCAGGAGAGATAACCTGTACAAAGAGGAGGATGATCGCAAGGAGGAGCGCAACAGCAGCAGCGGAGGACCAGGAGGCGCAGGAGGACTGGGGCGGAACGTGCAGGACAAAGAGGGAACGCCGAGGATCCCCAGAGGCCAGCAGGTGCATCCAGAGGCCGGGCCAGAGCGCATCCTGAAAGTTCGATCTCCCCTCCTCAGGACGATGCAGGGGGAGGCAGCGCCCCACCCGCAACGAGCGACGACGGCGACGACCTCCGCGCCCATGCCTGGGCCACCGAAGGCTGGCCGTCGACGACAGCCGCCAAAGGCCGCCGCCACAGCTGGAGGCCTCCGCCCATCACTGAAACCCGAGCACCCCACGGGGTCGACCCTCGGGGGTGTGGACCCCGTTCTCGGGACTGACCTCCCATTCCTATTTTTCCCTGTGGTCCTGTGGTGTGGGGTCTTTGTTTTGAAGAGACAGCGCCCCGCGTCCTCCTCTCCTCTCCTCTCCTCTCCTCTCCTCTCCTCTCCTCTCCTCTCCTCTCCTCTCCTCTCCTCCTCCCCCTCCTTCCTCCTCCCATCCATGCCTCTGCCCTCCGCATGTCTGTGTTTCGGCGCACCCAGTGCACCGCTTCGTGGCCCCGTGGGGAGCTCCACCGAAGTTCCCATCGGCAGGGTCCACATGGCGGTGCCGCCCCATTTTGACACACCCCTCACATGGATCGTGGCCCCATAGGGAGCTCCACCGAAGGCCCAAGTGGCAGGGCGCACCCCTCACACGGTTCGTGGCCCTAAAGGGAGCTCCACCGACTGCTCCAGTGGCAGGGTCCACATGGCGGCGCCGCTCCATCATGGCGCACGCCTTTCACGGTTCGTGACCCTAGGGGGCTCCACCGAAGGCCCAAGTGGCAGGGCGCACATGGCGTCGCCGCCACTCCCATCACACGGGTCGTGGCCCTATAAGGAGCTTCACCGAAAGCGGCGCCACAACACGGGATTCACAACTGCACATGGTTGGGTTCTTCGCCACGATAATTTTCAAAAGCGAAGACGAAGCCAGGATGAGGTCAAACTCGGGTGAGGATAAATCGAGGATCTCTGAGGTCCGGCGGCTCTGGAGGATGTACCGGGCGCCGCGGCCTGCTCAGAGCGTTCCAG